ATCCTTCTTCAAATGGGCACAAGAAGCAGAGAGAGGAAAGCTAAAAGGGGCAAAGGCTAAGGTACTCTGCAAGCCCTCCCTTGGCAGCATGCTTCCTCCAGCCCTGCTGTACCTTCTAAACCTCTGCCAACAGTGTCACCAGCTGGTGACACTCAAAACACTTTGAGGTTATGGGGGATATTTTTCATTCTAAACCACCACATTTTTATAGTAAAACATCTGAGAAATATATTCCTAACCCTTCGCTACAGAATGGCAATGTGCTAGAAAAAGGCCTAGTTTTATTCTTTGGACAAATACTTTTCCTCATTTGAATTTCAAAACAACCCACTGAGGTAAACGGAGATATGTCTGACTTCATCAGGGGCAAAGTTACAGTGGTTTGTCTCTGGAACCTCTCCTATTCCCAAGTGCCTTCCCCATGTCTCCACTATAGCAGGCGCTTTAACCGATGTTAAAGGTGGGGCACCAAAACTCAGAAGGGCCCCACGACACAGGTGAGTGGATGTGGCCCACAAGTCAGAGCTTGAGGATTCGCCTGGCACTCCCAACACTCAGTGCAGCCAGGTGGGAGTTGGAGGTTAGATGTGGTGGCTGCATTTCTTCCTTATCCCTTCCCCTCTCCCTTCAGCTCCTCCTCCTCCTTCTAGACAAGCAGCTATGACTGCTTTCGCTCACTGATGCTCTGTCTTCTTCCTACAATCTTCAACCCTAATCACTCTATCATGCTAAGGATGCCTTTTAAGACAAGCAAACTGAAGAGATAGTGACAAAGCAGAGAGTGTCTCACTTTCCAAAAAGATCTTGCTTAGTGACAATAGCTGACTTAACTGAAGAAAAGGTTGGACTTGGTTCCAGAGCACGTCAGGAGATCTGACATCAGCTCCAGTACTAGGAGTATAAGCATTCGCCCACAACCTGAGAGTCCTCCAAATGTGCAGGCCCACCATGTCCACTGCTCTGCCATAGCAGCTGTCCTTCTTCTCTCTGTCCAGCTGGAACTGGATGAGGAGGCCCTGTCCTGGCTTGTGCCTGAGACTCCCAAGGTCTGATGGCAGCAGCAGTGGGACCAGGACCAGCCATGTGTCATTCATGTTGGAAACATCTATTTTCCTTCAATCTCACCAGTTCTTGGGAGACAACAACAAGTCCTTCCTGAGTATTGAGCACAGAGCACCAGGGGAGCAGGATGGGTGCCTGTAACTCACACTCGCTCAGGCTCTGGTCTGGTATACAACGGATTCATGAAGGGCTTGGCAGACACAGACTGTGCCCTGAATTTTTTTTTTACTGTAAATTTTAAAAATTATTTTTATTTATTATTTCCATTTTATGTGTATGAGTGTATTGCCCACACGTATGTGAGTGCACCCATGTCATGCAATGCCGAGGAGGTCAAAAGAAGGTGTCGGATTCCCCTGGAACGGGAGTTAAGGACGGTCCGTAGCCGCCATGTGGGTGCTGGGAATCGAACCAGGTCCTCTGCAAGAGCAGTCGGTGCTCTTAACTGCTGAGCCACCTCTCCAGCCCCATGTGCCTTGAATTTTTTTAGACTATCTGCATTCACACACCTCACCTGTACAAGAACTCCATGCCTGCTTGCAAGGGCATCTCCCAAGTTACACCCTGCCTGGACTCCCCTGGGCCTCAAGCTGGTCACAATTCAGAGGCCTGGGCACTGACTCTCCACAGGCACCGTGTGCTCTCTCCAGCAGCCCCGAGAGGCAAGGACCACTACTGACTTCCCAGAGACCTACCACCTTACAGGCCATAGGGAATCCTGTCCTGGCAGTTGGTGTCTAGCATCTTCACCACCACAGGCCTCTTTCAAGACAAAGGTCAGGTGAAGACAGCCTTGTGACAGTGGCAGGGTCACAGCACCCCCATGGAAGGCAGGGATTGCTTCTTCTATGTACCTCCTATCTCCATGGCCACATGTCACTGTGCTGCCTGCTGGGGCTGCTCTGTCATCACGGTGCATATGATCCCTCCAACACAACTCTGCCTGTGTGCGGTATGTGACGCACCTCTCCTTCTAGCCCTTTCTCTTCATCATGAGTTCTTCTTCCTAGGCAAGTACACTGGCCCCATGGGCTTTTTCCAGGTGAGCACAGCTATGTGGAGAGAGGCCCGGCTTTACACATTTGCCAGATATAGAAGGCAGCTTCCTCCTCCTGGAGAGGCAGCTCACTCCTCAGTCCGACACTAGTCCAACACAACATGATCTTAACATCGTCAGCGGGGAATAGGGATGACTACCTCAACTTCACACCCTCTGGACCAACCCATTTAGTTCATACAAGAGATAAAGCAAATGCCAAAGGATTACTCTGTCAATCAGAAATGAGGCCAGCAAGGCTGAGCCACATCTTCCCCCATTGTGCCAGTGACAAGGGGACATCAAGTCAGAATTCACTTCCTCTTTCTGACAGCACATCCAGATTTACAAATATCCCTGCTTTTAAAAGAATGCTATATATCCATGTTTGGTGGCACATACCTTTAATCCCAGCACTCAGGAGGCAGAGGTAGACAGATTTCTTGAGTTCAAAGCCAGCCTGGTCTACATAGTAAGTTCCAGGCAAGTCAGGGCTATATAGCGTGACCCTGTTCACATACACAAAAAAAGAATGCCACACAATTCTTTAAGAGTTCACAGCTGATCTGTGAGGGGTTAAGTGGAACTTTGCTGAAACCCTGGCCCAGAAAATCCCAGATTATTAATTAGTCTGACATAGGGACAAGCCCATAACACCAAAGGAGAGGCAAGCACCATCTCTAAGGCCAGCTCTGGCAACAGCTGAGACGCCCAATATGACTTGCAGGACCCTCATCACCTCTCTGAACACACCAAAGACACGGCAGGCCTCAAAGGACCGGCAGGGAACGCCACTGAAGGCTCCAACACGAAGAAAAACTTCCACAGCTGCTGCATCCTCCCCGGACGGTGGCCACAAGCACAGGAAATGACCTGGCCTGGCAGGCCCCGACTCAGGAGAGAGGCCAAGACTGCACGGAGACCAGGTCCCTTGCAGCCTTCCCTCTCACTCTGAGAGTGGCCCTGATGTTGAGTCATTAGTGGAACATACCAGTCAAGAGGTGGGGACACCTCTGCATCATCTGGTTCTGTGTGGAAATGACTGAACATTTTCAGAGGTACCTCCCTGTCACCTACATTGCAACTGAGACCAGGCTGAGGGTGGGCCAGTCCCTGAAGACCTTTTGGTTCTCACGCAGGGGACATGCCACCTGAGGCCAAAGAGTGTGACGCTGAGGACGACACTGATGCCTTGTGTCGTGGCTGGAGTGGAGCCCCAGAGTAGAGGATGCCCAACACACACACAGGGCACACAATGTATTACACACATATAACATATGCGACCCCACATAACACACAGACCACACAGCCCATAACATACCACACATAAATCACAATATACATGCCGTATGATGTTCCACTTAACACACAAAGCACATAATGTACTGTACACGCACAGAACACAAGACCCACAACACAGTCTACCATACATACAACATACACATAGCTCCCAAGGCACCATATAACACGTACACCTATACACAGACATACAAGGCAGTGGTTCCCAGGGAAGGGGGAGCTTATACACAGTGCTTGAGTATGAGTGGAAGGTTGTTGGACTATTCGCATGGTGAGTAACTGTAGGGGTTTCCATGGTGCAGACCTGTGGCCCCTTGTGAGCTGTGCTAAACACCTTTTGTACCCTCTGTATGGCAGGAGAGGGACACTCCAGCACCCATCAGGAGACAGAGAGTACTGAGGACAGAGACAGTGTGTGTGGCATGTGTCTGGGTAAGGGTTGGGGGTGGCAGCTCTGCCCTAGGAAAAGGAAGGAAGAAGAGCAACATCTGGACTTGAAGTAGCGGCTGAGGCAGCAACTACCCAAAACCATAAGTGGGAGCCTTGGCAATAGCTGAAAATAGTCGAGTCTTAATGGGTCTTGGCAACAGTCTGGCTTGAGCTCAAAATAAACCTCTTCTGCCAATGTGGCAGTGACTCTCACCAGTGAAATTTGGTATTTCCAGTGTGGCAACAACCCAGTAACACTGAGTACCACACAGGGGAGCACTGTGCTGCATCACAGGGGAACTGGCACCTGCTTTAAGCTTCTATCCAGGGCAATCAGCAGTTAAGAGTGGCAGGCTCTAAGCTAAGGAAGGAGCACATGAGCATACGTACCTGCTCACAGGTGTGTTCAGACACGTGTATACACATGTACCCAGACATAAATGTTCATATGAGCACTTCACCTGTGCACACCTATCTGCGCATGTGTGTGTATAGATATATGCAGCCCTATGTGTTCTTCTCTCTGAAGCATCACTTCAATGGCATAGAGATGCCGGCTTCTTATGAAGCATGGCATCAAAAATCAGACTCAGTAAAGGCACCTGAGGACTGGGCCGACCACTCCTGAATCTCTGACACTTGGTGTTTGAGTTTAGATCAAAATGAGAGTGAGCAAACAGCATCTTGTGGCCTTGAGGAATATTTTCCCTCTGAATACTGACTCACCTCCTGCCATTTGTTCTAGTTAATAGGAAAGAAGTTTGGAGTTTCAACAGGCCAGGAGACAACACACAGCTTAGTTTTGAGGACACCAAGTCCTGCTCTGCATTTGCTATCACTTGTCCTTGAGTGTGGTTATCATCAGGCGAGAGCCATCTGGACCAGATCTTGCTAACTACACTTCTGCCTGTCCTCTGTAGATGCTTCTGATAAGCGGGAAGACCCTGCCTGCAGGGGGAAAGGATAGATAAGAGAAACAGGTGGGGCTTTGCCTGGCTTGGTGTGGTCACTGGCTTCAGAGCATCTACCTGGTGACAGTACCAAGTTCAGAAGCCCAGGAGAGCAGTCTTGGCAGGGCATCCTCCCCACACGCCGCCATGCATTTCCACACGGCGGCACCCCCTCCCTCCAGGGTCTTGAGGCACAGGGGATAAAAGCCCAAGCTTCCACTCACCTGTTCCCCGTCACGATGTATCCCTGCTGCTCCCTGTTGGAGGGCTGGACTTCTAGCTGCAGGCCTCCCCTGGAGGGTCCCTGTCCTGCTTCTGAGAGGCTCTGCTCCCCCTGCCACACCCCCGTAGGCCAGTTTCGGAGTTCAGTTTGTTGCTCTGAGTTCGGCTTATTCTCTAGCAGGTCTTTGGAATAAGTCCGGCTCCTCATGTGTTCCACCCCAGCAGTCTCCTCTTTGGAAGACGAGGGCTCCTCGGGCTGCTCTGATTTCTTGATCTCCGCTCTGGAGGACTTTTCTAGAAGGGGAGCTTCAGGTAAAAGAGGAGACCCACGGTCCTTCAAGAGGTCTCCAAGCTGTATGCTCAGACGGCTGACCTAACAGAGAGGAAACTTCCATGAGATGGCATCTAAGACAGAACCAATGAAGCATGACAGAAAAAAATGCTAGGAGACAAACCACGTGGTAGGATGCCAACAGCCACCGAGAAGGAGCACATGAGAGTGCAGGGATTGTGTGCAGAATCATACCTAGAGGGACACCAGCCAGGGAGGCAGAATCTCTTTCTAGGGCTCTCTCTCACTCACCTCACTCTTCTTTCCCTTCTTATACATGCATACCTTCTTGAAAAATCTGATTTTGTATTTGGTAAAGGTTTTCTAAAAAATTACCCATGTGACTTCAAGACCCCACCCACCCCTCTCGAAGCAATGAACACCTAATTATAATACCTATCAATCACCACCATTTACATCTGCTGATCGGCCCCCAAAGGTGTGGTAGTAAGACTTTATTTGTGTAAGTCTTCCAATAAGCTCCAGGGGTAGGGAAACATCAGTAATCACCATTTCATAGAAAGGGAAACTGAGGCAGAAGTTAACGCTGGAATGAGGGACCTGTGCTAGTAATGTTGAGGGGTCTCTAGTCCTGGCAAGGGTGATGGTCGGTCTCCAAGCATGATCCCACTTCCTGGATACCAGGCTTCTCTGACACCCCTGGCACCTGCCAGAAGGGTATTATGATCACAGTATTTGTGGCTGGTTATGAATCCAGCATTTGATCACTCCATGCAAACCCCATTTCATCATATCCCAGCTCTCTGCTTTGTAGACGTGACCTAATAAGACGCTGGACATCAAATGATATGTACAAGGTTTTAATCATTAAATGACACCTCTGATATGACACTAGACAGAAACTGGGGGACTGGGTTTCCTCTCACAACTTAATTCACCAAAACACATTTATTTAGGAAATTAAGAAAGAACTGTGCTGAGTGTGGTGGCACACGCCTTTAATTCCAGCACTCGGAAGGCAGAGGCAGGTGGATCTCTCTGAGTTCCAGGCCAGCCTGATCTACAAAATGAGTTCCAGGCCAGCTGGGGCTACAAGGAGACCTTGCCCCAAAAAGATGAAAAAAGAAAAAGGAAAAAAAAAGAACTGTGAGCAAGATCACTTCCTTCTGCCTGAGATTCACAACTTCTCCTTCTGAATACGTAAATGCAATAGTTTGATCAAGACAGTTGTTTTGAATTGGATTTGCAGTGACAATACACTGCAGTAAGTGACCCAATGAGGGCTTTTGAAAGAAAGGGGATGATGGTCCCAGATGGAGTTTCATATGAGGAAGAAAAGGAAGGTGTCACTGAATGAAGAAGTTCAGACTGTCCAACATGCAAATACCCTTTCCGAAAACAATTGCTCAAAATGTACCCCAAGCAACAAAGAAATGCGTCAAAACTCAACAGGTGCAGTGGGCGGAGGCTGGGAAGGCTGTGGGTGGAGGCTGCGAAGGCTGTGGATGGGGTCTGGTAGTTCACCAATTTCAGGTTCAATGTGTCATTGGCTTGTGCTCTGACATCACAGCCTTGAGGGCTGTGGGTCTCCTGTGGCATCTGTTTACTCCTAAAATCCAGGCACAGTTTCCTGATCTGGTCTCCCCACACTACTCTGATGGAAATCCCACTGTGGCTGGGATTTCAGATCACTGGTGTTTCATGCTGGTGTCTAACAGGAGCTGGGCCACAAGCCAGCAAGATGGCCTGACAAGAAAATGACTGAATAAGACTTTCCCTTCTTCCTACAAAAAGTTTTACAGAACCATATAATACCACTGCTACCTGAGTAGATTTTCTGCATCCTTAAGATTTACATTAAGAGAACACAGGTTCTTAAGCAAGAAACTCCAACTGGCTAATAAAGTTGTATAGAGACCACCTGGCTAAGTCCTTTCACAGGGCCATCTTGGATCACCTACAGAGACTGAGCACCCTGCAGATGTGACCACATGGGGCCTTGGCTAAGGCAACTAAGGAACTGTTATTTGCCTTTAACTTATTTATTTCAAGTTTCAGGAGCTGCTCGTGGCTCACAGCTACCAGACCAGCTGGGGCAGGCCCGGGGACATGGAGACTGTGCCTGTTGGTCATGAACCTCAGAAGTTGTGTGCAGAACTCTGCAGGTCTGTGAAATGGGCTTGCAATGTTCACACAGGGTTCTGAGGATATTAGTTTTCTTCTTTGAATTAATCTTAATTTTCACGTCTCTATAATGGCTAAATATTCTGAAAATAGGTCCCATTTCATACCCAGGTCTCCATAATTTTGTATATACTCCACAATTTTCTCAATCTGGGGATTATGAGATTTTTCCATGTACTCTTCCAGCTGGACGAAAGTGCATTTCATAAACAGAAAGATGACAGTGTGACTCTGGCGTTATCTTACCTCCTCATATACTGGATCATCCTCCTCTGAGAGTCTGTGATCTGTAAGAGATAGCCTGTTATTCAAGTTCCTGAAAGATGTCCTCATAAGGTATCCCAATGCATGAAAAGATGGCCACTGAGAATCCTCCTATACCAATGAGGTGGGACACCAATGGCCTCATTTTTACCACAGAGTAACACTTTTCTGTTCATAGCACTAAACAGCATCCTGCAGATTGTGAGACAGAGGAAGGTTTTGCTAGCCAGGCTCAGACACAGCACGATGACCCTGCCAGCTCCACAGCCTGAACAACATCCTGTGTTTGCCACAGCATGAAGGACACGGGGGACTCACTTCTGTCCCAACCCACAGAGGAGAGCGTTGCAGGTCACATCTGGTTTTCAGCAGGCTTTTGTGTGTCTACCATGAGCAGGGCACTGAGCTCACAATCTTAGAGGCCTGCCTGCCTGAGTGACCACCCCAGGTCCTGCTGCTGTGTGGGTGAGGTAGGGCAGGTACTATCCACTGCCCCAGCAGCCTCAGAGGTGGATGGAGACAGTTGGATGAACCCCTTTTTCTTTATTGCTCAAATATTTGACAGTGCACACTTGCATGACCCAAACAAAGACACTCTCACTCACTCCTTGGTTTTCCTAATCCTGAACCCCAGCACGCAGGAATCAAGCCTCTTCCCTGAGAGCAATTTGCCATTCAACATAATTGCTCTGGTAGGCTTAGTTTGTTAAGAAAGCTTTTAGAGGCAAAGGTTCAAATAGATTAAAAATCATTAATACAAATCTCTCCCCAGCAGAAAGAATGCCTTATGGCCTGTGGAGCAGTTTGCTTCTCTCCCTAGAGCCCCCTTTCTCCCCATTCACCCCTCCTTGTGTCCCAAACCTTTCCCCATGCCTCCTTCCACCCCGCCCCGTGACCTCACCACTGCCTGCAGCCACACCTCATGGCTTCTTTACCTTCCCATGGCCTCACCTATTCCCCGTGGCCTCTACCTCTCCTCCCTGCACCCCCTTCCATGACCTCCTCCCTTCCCTGTGGCTGTCAAGGAGCAGGTCACCTTGGAGCACTGCTTCCGGGCCATTCTCCTGTTCTTGTAGTTGTCCCTCGGCCCCTCTCCCGTGGCCATCCTGGCCTCCCTGCATGGTCGCCTTGCATGGCTCCAGCAATTGCATCTGCCATCTCCTCCAGCTCCAGGGGGCCCAGGCGTGGCACCTCAGATTGCTGCTGCAGGTCCTTCAGGAGACTCCACAGGAGCATGTCTAGGACACAGAAGAAGTCATGAGTTGATGCAAAGGATATAACAGGTACCAGGCATTTTGGGGAACTCTTCTGGTTTAGCTAGACATAGAGAGTCCCCAGAGAAGGAAGAATGTACTGGCCGACAAGAGAGGGAGAGGAAGGCCTTGTCAGCAACTACATGTTCATCTGGGGCAAGAGCTGGCATCCTGTCAAAAAGCCTACAGGTTATCAACAAATAGTAATAAGCTGCATCCCTCTGACCTGAGACAGAAAGTGATTATAAGATAAAGGGATAGTGTGGCCCACACTCCACCAGCTCACTCCACCCAGATGCTGAAAGTGGGCAGCCATCATATTTCTTGATACTCATAGAGAAAAGCCTTAGCTAGGCACTCTGAGCAGTGTGACAATGTGTCCTGTGTGCACACAAAGCCTGATGGCCCCTGTGCTGTGTCTTTGGGAGAAGCAAGTTCTGCAGGAAGGCTCCCCGACAACCAGCCTATCAAATCCCTGCCAAAAGTGAGCATAAACACAGGGCTCTAGGAATTGTCACGCCTGAAGACAAGGACATGTTTTCCAAGGCAAGAGCACACGAGGCAAGCGACCGTTAAGGCCTTCCGAGCCACGACTAGAACGTTCTGAGCCACGTTCTGACTCTAGAACCATTCTCTACTCTCCATCCTGAGCAGGGCCAGCTCTGGCCGAGGCTCATGCAGGGCAGCCAGGAGGGAAGAACACCAAAGGCAAGACAGGGAGGTGCCATTCTCAAAAGACCAGGGGCATGTTAGAAGATGAACATTCGCCCACTTCCTGCGCTCCAACCTCCAACACGCTCTTCTCTCTGACACTGTAGGAAAAGGAAGGTTCCGTGGCGACATCTGGGTATGAGGTCTGTGGGCTGGCATCTACCTCACTACAACACAGATCTATGCTCCGGGTCCATCTCCTCAGTCTGCTTCTTTGTTTACCTGACAGTGAACAGTGAGTGAGGACACTGCAATGTTACAATCTGAGAATACCGTACAAGCGTTGTCCCAGGTCTGACCAGCAGGCACCTCTCTGTGGATGTTTCTCTCGCTCTCTCTCTCCCTCCCTCCCTCCCTCCTTCCCTCCCTCCTTCCTTCCCTCCCTTCATTGAAGCAGGGTCCCACTGGTTTGGGTCCTATCCATCATAAAGCCGCAGGTGGCAGACATCCTCCACCAGAGACAGATGTGGGAAGGGGAGCCGAGGTGACCCTGTTCCTGCCCAGTTTTGCATCTGGGCAGCTTCTGGACCATAGTGTGCAATGGAGAGCAGGACAATCCCCTCAAGCTGATCTGTCAGGGTCAGAGGTGGTGGAATTGAAGAAGTTTTTGTATAGGTATACAGGGAATGGGCATGAAGTGAGGAATTCCACGTGAAGGGAGAGATGCCTGAGATCAAGCAGAGGCAGGCTGAGAGAACATGCTGAGAGTTCCAACTGCCTCTATCAGAGATGCCCTGGCAGAATGCCAAAGACCCACAAGGCCATGGCTTCAGAGGAAGGGTCACCCAAATGCAGGACTATGAAATAGCAATACCCTGAGAGGATCAGGATGGCCCAGGAATTTAGCTGGTGCTGGAAAACCCTCAAGAGAAATCTGGTGGCATGGTTCAGTTCCTGTACACACAGTACCCAGCAGAGCATAAAGCAGCTCATACAGGAAGAAGTGAAAATGACTGTGACCCCCAACAAGGAGAGAGAATGAGGCTGAGGGTTCACAGATGGGTCTGCACAGGCAGGAGGGTATACCTGGTCAACTCGGCAGGGGCATGGATGGACATGCAGGAAATGAGGGGTAAATCTGAAGGCAGAGAAATTGCTAGTTTGAAAAGTGGAATGGAAAAGAATGTCCAGAACCCCGGAAGCCTGCGGGGCAGGGCTGGGCAGCACAGAGCCCGGGCAGCCTGCGGGGCAGGGCTGGGCAGCACAGAGCCCGGGCAGCCTGCGGGGCAGGGCTGGGCAGCACAGAGCCCGGGCAGCCTGCGGGGCAGGGCTGGGCAGCACAGAGCCCGGGCAGCCTGCGGGGCAGGGCTGGGCAGCACAGAGCCCGGGCAGCCTGCGGGGCAGGGCTGGGCAGCACAGAGCCCGGGCAGCCTGCGGGGCAGGGCTGGGCAGCACAGAGCCCGGGCAGCCTGCGGGGCAGGGCTGGGCAGCACAGAGCCCGGGCAGCCTGCGGGGCAGGGCTGGGCAGCACAGAGCCCGGGCAGCCTGCGGGGCAGGCCTGGGCAGCATAGAACCTGGGCAGCCTGAGGGGCAGGGCTGGGCAGGCCACACTATGGCTGCAGCACAGCGGAAGGAGAGTTCACAGATCTCTGAGAGCCATGGATGTCCCAGACTTTGTGAAGAACATGGAAGATTCCAGATGCTCAGTACATTGCAAGAACAAACAAAAAGAGTCACCAAGGGTAGCTCAGGTGGACCTTCTACAAACCAAAGCTACAGCAGACACGGCAGAGCCAGGAAGATCTACAGCCCAAGGACAGCACTGGCTCCTTACAGTCCAGGGCTCAGGCTTCAGTGGTTCATAAGAAATGAAGCACTCTCAAACAGGGGGACATAGACCCTTCTAGACATCACAGTATAACAAAACACAACAAAACCCCTTGATGTCAGAAAAGGACTCCTTCTCCAGAAGCTGTTGACCAGGGGTCGCATGGACCCTCAAACAGTACTGGCCGTTACCCCTGCTCTTGGTTACCCACCAGAACTTGATGGTGAGACCCTATTGCTGAAGACACTACATACATGAGCTGTAGAACAAACAAGAAGAAACCGGCTGGTGCTGACTTCAGAGCCTCATCTCTACTGGCTAGTGTTTACAGGGCTGGAAGGTGCTCTGCATGCCACCAGAAGGAAAAAATAATCACCGACCTTACCCAGCTGTGAACCCTGTGACCTACAACCAAAAACTGGCCTGGCAAGATGTGCCCATCGGTGCAACAGTGGCACAAATATTATGGGACTAACCAACCATTCTCTAATTGAAAAGAAAGTCTGCTTCATAGGATGGAGTCCATCCTGACACTGATATCAGGCTTAGGAACCTGAAGCTAGACAGGTCACAGGACACAGGAGAGTCCAATACTAAATAGTTATCATATTAAACTGACTCCTAACGACTTATTGTTATATACATAAATTAATGCATCTCTCAGCTCTCACCAGAGAAGTTTCCTTTTGCAGCAGATGGTGATTAACACAAAGACCCACAACTGGCCAGTGTGCAGAGAACAAGAGGCTGCAGAGTGCTCATCTCTGAACAGGACACCTGGATCAAACATCTGCCTCCCAAGGCTCAGGGCACGTTACCGAAGAGGGAGTGGGGAGACTGTAAGAGCCAAAGGGGGCGGACAGCCACGAGGAAACATTTCCAGACAGCTTGTCAGTTACTCATACAAACTCACAGCAATGGTGATGGCATGCACAAGTCCCACGGAAGGTCAAATTCGAAAAAAATCTTAGCACAGATAAGGAGAAGTGGGTAAGAAACCCCAACCCAACCTGAGGAACTACTGACAACCAATGGTTGCTGGGATGGGGAGAGACAGCCTTTTAAGGATGGAATGCTTGTGGGTTAATCAGGCTTCAGTGGATGGACCCACACTTAAAGGACATTTGAGATACAAATTAGACTCTACGGGCATATACGTGTGTGAGTGTGTGTGTGTGTGTGTGTGTGTGTGTGTGTGTGTATAAATTAGAGTACTATATATATATATTAGAGTACATTAAATTGGACAGGGGAAGTAAGGGCTCTGGAGTGCTGACGACAGGGGAGGGTATCTAAATACCATCAAATTGTATTGTATGAAAACTGCAAAACTTCAATAAAAAGGCATGTTTGCTGGGTGCAGTGACACACATCTTTAATTCCAGCACATGGGAGTCAGAGGCAGCCTTGCCTGTATAGCGAGGTCCAGACCAACTGGGGCTACAAGGAGAACCTGTCTCAAAACAACAACAACAACAAAAGAATGACATATCTGATGTGTGATTTGGTATTCGGTTATTACACATATGAATAACTTGAAGTGCTAAATGGAACATTCAACTCAGAAGTCTGTAGCCAGACCTTTCAGACACAAAGGTCATAGATAAACATTTTCCTATAATGCTAATAAAACAGCAGCTGGTGGCCTGCAGACCTGCACTTTGAAAATGAGGAACTGGAGAAGTACCATGGGTACGTGGGCAAACACTGGGACAGGGACCGAAGCCTGCCTTCTCTTTTCCTCTGAAAGACAACTGGCTGGTAGGGAGGATTCATCATCCCCATTTTAGTAGAGTTCGAAAACACATGTAGCTGTGCAAACACAGGGGCGAGATATCTGTGCCCGCCCCCTGTGCTTTCCATGCAGCCTCTGACGATGACAGTGCTCAACATGGGCATCTACATCTCAGCAGAGGAAGACAAATCTTCAAAAACGCAATGCTAGCACAAAACTATCTAACAGAATGTTTATTCATAGTGTAGCAGGAAAAAAACTTCCTATAACATCAACCAATGAAAAAAGAAAAAAATCAAAGAGGGGCAGGAAGACGGCTCAGTGAGTAAAGTGCTTGCCACGCCAAGTTGGGATCCCCAGCACCCATGTAAAAATCCTGTAATCCCAGTGGTGAGGAAGGCAGAGACAGGACAATTCCCACAGTTCACTGGACAGCCAGTCTAGCCAATGAGTGAGCACCAGGTTCAATGGGCGGTGCTGGGAGGCTCTGTCTCAAAAAAAAAAAAAAATGGAGAACGACAAAGGAAGACAGTTGACACCCCGGCCTGCACAGTGCACACAGGGACAGATGCATCCACGACCACGTGTACTCCTCTCCTGCCTCTCTCTCTCCCTCCATCCCTCCCCCTCTCTCACTACACATACACACATATACGCACATATACTCCATACATACAAAAAACAGGCAAAGACAATTGAACAGAAACTTCACAAAAGAAGCCATAAAAATGACCAATATGCTCATGAAAAGATATGAGCACAGGGGAGCAG